ACCCGCTGGAGCCGATAATGATATCCTGGCTCTCCTGGCAGCCTGTGCCCTTCCTGCAGGCTCTAGAGCCATATATGAGGTAAACTAAAGAAAATGGGACACGTGCACGCTCTCTGCCCTCTGCTCCAGTTTGCAACTTGCTTTGTCACCTGCTAGTGTGGAAAGTTCTTATTTAAGAGGGGGCTCAGTGTTTCGTTCAGCTGGTAACTCTCGGATAGCCGCACGGTTCAGTCTGCCTTGGTGTCCTTTTCCCCTCAGGCTCTAGCCTCACCTAGGCGTGGGGAGCAAGTCCTTGTCAGAGAGCCACCGCTGAGTGTGCTACTGACATGAGGTCTGTTGTGACAGATCAGGAAGGAACAGCAGGGACATTTTGGGGATTCGCTGACTTTTGCTCTGTGCCATCAGTTGGTGGAATTTGGGAGCTGGGGAAGCCGTAGCCAGGTAGAGAGGGATCCCTGGTGGTCGAATGTGTTTGGTTAGAAGTCTCTGAAGGGGCAAATTCCATTTTTCCTACAAGGCACACAGAATTCTAGCCTTAGGTTTTTGCCATTCAGACCCCACCAACTGGACTCGAAAGCTGATGTCATCAGCTGCCTGATCCCTACCAGTGTGACACGCTTGGGAAAGAGCAGTTCCAACAGCCTTGGCTGTCTTTTTGTTGTGTCTGAAAGGTGTGGGACCTTCGCCAGAACAAGCTCACTTACACGATGAGAGGCCACGCAGACTCGGTGACAGGTCTCAGCCTGAGTTCAGAAGGCTCCTACCTGCTCTCCAACGCGATGGACAACACAGGTACGTCCAACTTGATGGGACAACAGGCCCTGCCCTCCCCCCCTGGCTGTGCCTGGTGATTTGGGAGGGAGGGCACAGCAGCAGCAGAAGGGTTTGTCACATCTTCGGAAGGTCACAAGGCTGTGGCACACAGTATTTGCATGGGCAGCTGAATTCAGTCTTCGTGGCTCTGTTTAGGGAGCTCTGGCTCTTCTTCCCCCTCCGTGGGGAATGACAGCAGTTTCCTCACTGCCCGTCTCCTGCACGAGGATGCTCAGGGAAGCTGCTCTGATGAGAAGCGTGATCATGGAGGGTGTTAGAATCAAGCAGATGTTGGTGTAGGAAGGTGGTGGCTTGTCTGGTGAAGGGCCTAGAGGGAAAGTCTTATGAGGAGAGGCTGAAGGAGCTGAGGGTGTTTAGCCTGGAGAAGAGGAGCCTCAGGGGGACCTTATCACTCTTTACAACTCCCTGCAGGGAGGGGGCAGTCAGGGGGGGTCGGGCTCTTCTCCCGGGCAACCGGTGACAGGAGGAGAGGGCCCGGCCTGAAACTGCGTCAGGGGAGGTTGGGGTTGGGGCTCAGGCAGCCCTTCCTCCCGGAGAGGGTGCGCGGGCCCCGGGCCAGGGCAGGGGGAGTCACCATCCCGGGGCGGGGTTGAGGAGAGGCTGGATGTGGCACTTGGTGCCTGCTCTGGCCCGTGTCGGGGTGTTGGGTCACGGGCTGGGCTTGATGATCTCAGAAGTCTTTTCCAACCTCAATAATTCTGTGATTCTGTTTGCGTAATAGTGGGTTTGGATTTTTCCCCTCCTGTTGGCAGCGGTTGTGGCGTGACTGGACATTTCTGTGTTTGCCTTTTCACATCAAAGCTTTCAGCAGGGGAAAGCTGGTGGTTTCCTTTTGCTTCTGGGGAAACGCAGGCACGAAGAGAACGAGGAACATGAACTCTACTTGTTAGCAGCACATCTTAGAAGAATAAATAGTTCCAGAAGCTGCTCTTGCTCCCGTGCCTCTGCCACCTTCAGCTAATTCCTGTGAGCTCTCTGTTGCAGTTCGCATCTGGGATGTGCGACCCTTTGCCCCCAAAGAGAGATGTGTGAAGATTTTCCAGGGGAACGTACACAATTTTGAGAAGGTGAGTGTGCTGCAGACCAACACGTGATTGTAAAGTGCCGCTGCTGTTAACTTGCCTGTAAATTGTTTTTTAAATACAAGTTTAAACCAGAAAGGCTTTAATAAGAACTCAAAGAAAGATTAATGCACAAAGTGGGATTCCAATTAAAGCTGCAGTAACAAGATTTCTTTGCTCGGTTCAGCTATAATTAGCTGTAAATTAAGTATTTTCTACATTTACTATCTACTTGTGTAAAATAACAAGGCACTGGATGTTTCCAGCAATAAAATAAAATCTGTAATTACCATCTCATCTTCCGAAGGGAGATTATTGAAGTGGTGCTCGTGATATTTAAAGTCTCCTGGTGATTTTAATTCAAGTAGAAGGGGGAAACTAAATCTTCCTTTGGAAATAGATCTGTGCACCTTTTTTTTTTTTAATTATTATTTTTATTTTAGAATCTCCTGAGGTGCTCTTGGTCCCCGGATGGCAGTAAAATCGCGGGGGGATCGGCCGACAGGTGAGTGCCCGCTGGGTTTCTCTGCTACCATGAACCCATAATCATTTTGCAGGCACTCCTGGAACAAGTTGGGTCACAGAGTCTCAGAGTCGTGCCTAGAGGTGTGAAGACCCAAACAGCCCTCTGGGGTGGTCTGATTATGGCAGTGATGTGTTTAGATTGCCTTTGTGTCCGCAGAGGAGCATGAGACTCTTGTCAAATCTTCTTCTAATTGTCAAAATCTGCCTGGAGAGCTGCGCTGCTGCTCGTGTTCAGCCTTGGGATTCAACGCCAGGGCCAGCAGGTGACAGGAGGGTGGTTCCCGGTGAACTAGGTCCCTTGGGGACCTACTGGCAGGTGCTTCTGAGAGTCTTTTGAGGTGCAGGGAGGCTGGGGAGGTGTGTGTCGGGAGGCTCATACTGATACAGACCACGACCACCAGTTAAATCGCGGTGTGGCGCCTTGCAGGAGGCACCAGTGGTGTTCCAAGGATTGTGATCCTCACTTTGATTGATGAGTGAGAAGAAATAACGATCTGGCTAAGTTAGCACTTGTAAATGAGGTGTTCTACAAACTAAGGCAACTGAGGAGTGAAACGGGTGGTGGGAGGAAGCCAACATCAAAAGCCAGTGTCCTGTCTGTCGGGTCCGTGCCAGACGCTGAAGGTCACTCTGAAGGATACCAACCGCTGCTGGAGCAAATCCAGACACGCTCTCGGTGACACTGAGACAGGAATTCCTGCAGGCCGGAGTCCAGGGCCTGGAGCAATGGTAATCGGCAAATTAATGAGTTTCTGATAGATGAGAGGGAGAACTTTAGCTCTCGCTGCCCAGATATAGTGGGACCAGCTGTCACGGCAAGTGCCCGAGGCGTGACTCTCCTTTCCAGTCCTGCTGGGCAGTAACTGGTGCACTCCGGGGAGGCGGAGGTCTGCCTGCCTGCCAGCCTGCCGGGGCCGCGGTTGGAGACCTCGGGCCGCTGGGTTAGTTCTGCGGGCGCTGAGATCTGACAGCGACTCTGTTGTGACGTTCGAGGGGGCAGCCAGGTCCCAGGGCAGGTTAGACAAGGCCACTCAAATCTTTGTGCTGTCTCTGAGCTTTTAAAACTTTTTTTTGGAAGAATGTCTGCTGGGAAAGCAAGGCGAGATTAAACAAACACTTCATTTGCCTGAGTGCAGTACAGTTCCCTAGTGATTACTCTCTCCATCTGCATTACATGGAGTGGTTGTGTGTGTTGGAGGGACAGTTACCCGAATATTTCTTTTGCTGTTGACCCCTTCAGAAGGATTATGGTAAAATCAGCTACTTAAAAGTGCTTTCCTGCTTTGCAATATCCAGTTAAAAACACAACAGCAGAGTGCTTTGAGAAAGCATTCAGTAGAGTCATTGCCTGCTAGATAAAATAGTTGTGCTTGTAGAAATGCCGCTTTAAGTAATATTCATGACTTAAGTTGCAGGCTTGAATTTTTGCCTTTTATGTGTTGCAAGAAAATGAGTCAAAGGATAGCACCAGCCTGAAAACGGGCGCTCCTAGCAAAGCAGGTGCCCCGTGTTGGTGTCCAGTGTCCTCTCGTATCTAGCCGGCAAGCGTTAGAAATGATTCACTGCCTTGCTGGGGGTGAAAAAAGATGCTCATTTCGATTGCAGCTAAAAGACAGGTGTATTGTACAAGCAAATCTTGTTCTCTGTCCGGTCAAATGGGAAGGAACGGGTGAAACTGAGGAACCCATTGTTGGGAGCATCGCATAAACGTGAAACGGTCCAGCCTTGGTATTCAGAGCTTGGGCTGGTGGAAGGGCTGTTGGTGCCCAGTGTGTTTGGATTCCTGGAGGTGAGATATGGGCCGATGTGCGGTGGCATCAGAGCGACCTTGCTTTGGAGGAGTGTGATGCAGCAGATGGATTTGAGGTGTTTTGTGGGCTGTCTCCTGTACCCTCACCTTCCACAGTCCCCTGGAAACCGCCGCAGCGATCCCTCTGGGGCACACAGCCAGCAGAGCTGCCCTTCACACCAAACCCAGCCAATTCCTGCTCCGCCACTTCCCTTCTCTGCCCTGGCAGGTGTTGTTTTAGCTGCCAGTCACTTCTCCAAAGACCAAAATGAGAAGGGACAGTGAGCATCATCCAGAACTGGCAGGTTTCCCCCAGGCACCTTTTTTGTGTGTGTGTGCAGAGCTGTGAGCCGTGTAACAAACGTGTTTCGTGTGGCGAGGCCGCCGTGTTTGGAAGGGAGGGACGCAGCATGGCCTGCACTGTTAGGGTGTTGCTCAGGACTCTTCACATTTTGGTGCGTTAAAAAAATCCACTCGCTCCTGTGGATGCTCACTGTGACCGGGGTCAGCTGAGCTCGTGAGCAGCCACCACACCGTGCAGGCAGCCATCGATCCCCATGAGGGACAAGTAGTGTGACTTCTTTTGACTCCAAATTGACATCTTTGCTCTTACCTGCTCCTGGGAAGCTCCTTGTTTATCCACATGAAGAGCTGCATCTGTTTTGGCCCGGGCAGGAATAAGCTGTTGGTGAGAGGGTGCGGCTGCTTTCTCTTCGCCGATGCCTGCGCTCATAATGGTTCTCTTGTAGGTTTGTCTACGTGTGGGACACCACATCCAGGAGGATTTTGTACAAGCTGCCAGGCCACGCCGGGTCGGTGAACGAGCTGGCTTTCCATCCGGAGGAACCCATTAGTAAGTCCTCTCCACCTGGAGTCAGCCAGGGAAATAGTTTCAGAGCTGGCTGAACTGCTGATCTTCTGGAAGACGGCCCCAAAATTCCCTGTGGCCCAGAGCCCCGAATATCAGGCAAATTTAGGGGTAGCAGACTCCTGCCTGCTCGTGTCCCATGGACAGGAGCTGGCCTGGGTGTGCCCTGGAGGACCTCAGGCTTATCCAGACATCCCAAGAGCTGTGCAAAAAGGATTTGGGGTACCTGGCTTTGGACACCTGGGATATAACCATGTATTTGGTGATGACCTGGAAGCGTGTATCCAGCCTGGGGATCTCTTAACTTACCCAAAAGCTGCAGGAAGCAACAAAATCTCTTTGTGCAGCGGGTTTTGTCCCCGTTTTAGAGGTGTCTGGCGTGTGACGCCACGTATCAGTGCTGGGTAAGACAATGCTCATGGTGGCTTTTTCAGAACCGACCCGTGTGTTCGCTGAGATTTCCCATCAGTGTCTCGGCCGGGGCAGGACCGTGGGGTGCTCTTTCTTTTTATAGAAACACTTGCACCACCAGTGGGGTCACCACATTGCTCCAGCCAAAAATTGACATGAGTCAAACCCTGAAACAAAGCCAAGAGCTCGGTGATGCTGAGGCTGATGGTCTCTGCAGCAGGACAGCGAGTTACGGGTTTGTTCCTCGGTTATTTGTTGCCTTGGCTTCAGGTGGGAGGCGGTGCTGGAAGAGTGGAGCCGTCTCTCCTGTTTGGAGCAGATTGTTTGCGGTTTGTGTTCCGCTGAGCTCCTCTGAATCAGTCACTCAGCTTAAAGTAAAAACTAAAAAACCTATCCAGGCGGTGCATGCAGGTTATGCAATTGAGAGCTGGGAATGTTTAATCTTGCAAATTGCTGCACCCGCTCCACGATGTTCATCTGCACAGGAGGGTGCACAGGGAGCCAAAACACAGCGACGTGACAGACACCAGCCTGCGAGTTAGTGTGGAACCTCCTCCAAAATCTCCCCCAGACTCAAACACAATCTCTGTCGGTGTCAAAAGCAGCGCTTCTGGGTCGTTCTTCTGATGGCCCTTGCAGGAGCTTTTCTGAGTTAAGGTGGTTCAGCGCTGGGTTGCAGTTGGCTGTAGCTGCCTTTTGTCTTCTGGTAAAATAATACGGTCCCAGCAAGGTTTTCCTGGTCAGCCTGTGCCCTCTAGTGGCATCCAGTCCCGGCGGCAGTGCCCGGCTTGCAGCCTGAACGCTCCTCGCAATGAAAATAACTCGTCGGGATGCTTGGGAGCATTAACAGCGTCTTTATTTGCCTCTCTTTCCCATTGTAATGCTCAGACGTGACGGGCAGTACGGCTGCCTCGGGACAGGCACGACGCACAGCTTGTGATTAGGTACCAGAGCAGTAATTCCGTGAAGTGGTTTGGGGGGAAGCGAATAAAAATTGGCTTTCTGGATCACTTG